GGAGTAGATGAGGATGCCAGGCCCTGTAACTGGGAGGATATGGTGGAGTCATTGGTCAGTTAAAGCTCATTATGCTTTTTTTTTCCAGAATACTTCCATTTTGGGTTGTAAACTGCAATTAAAGTTCCTTTTCATAGATGTATGTGGTCCACTGTGTGTTCCTTCTCTGGCTGTCCAGTGCAGCAGCGTCCTGTCGGGGGTTAAGGTTGTTGCTTGCAGTCTGAGTGACAGTGTCTGATGCTGTAGTGGGGCATGGCTGGTGGTCCATCTGACTCCTTGGTGCAGAGCAGAGTGCTAAAAAACCTATTGCTGCTGTGAAACCCAGCTGCTCCAGACACTCTTGCCAAGTGTTTCTGTGTCTGCTGCTTTCCCAGAGAGCACTTCACAGGGCTCTGCAGGAAAATTAATCATTTTCTAAGTGGGAAGCGTAAATACACCTAGTTAAAAGTATGTGCCTTAACATGCATGCACCTTGCCCTGGCAGTAGGACCTTTTAAAGCTAACCTGCCTTTAATAGAAGCTCTCTACAGAGGTCCCCTCTGCAGATTCCCTCAGATTCCTGGGGAAACCACCGTCACTCAGGTATTCAGTCTTCCACAGGGCCCAGGGCAGCAACTACAGCAGGTCTTGAGAATGTGTGTAAGAAAGTGCAACTGCTTTGTCTTGTCCTGGGGTTTATCTGCTTCACCAAAGCCTTTGAAATGAGTAATATGTGCAAAATGAAGCCACTGATAACCTTTGGCATTTGATGGGTTGTCCTTTAACTAGACTAAAAGCAGAGACATCTGACGCTTGTGTGCAGTCTCTAGACAGCAAGCAGCAGCAGCTGGACTAACTTCAGAGCCAGAAGATGAAAAAGGACACGTACAAGGTAAATCTCTTCTTTAAGGTGGGTTCCAAAGCAACCTGGCATTGGAGGCTTTGGGTATTGAACGGACAAGGTTTGTTTGAAAACATGACTGGGTGCAAGCAGTAAGTCTTATCACTCTGTCACTCGTAAATAAACATGTTCCTGTTTCCAGTAGCTTTTCCCCCCACTCAAGTGAATTTTTCCACAAATGCAGACAGTAAAGACTTGCTGTTTCATAGCACATATTTGATCTTCTGTGTAGGCAAAGAGGTAAGGTTTCAGATGAGTGCACCTGAGGATGTCGGAGTTCCTCAAGAGGAGCTGGCTGGTGCTCTCTGGTTTTCCCCTTATGCTGAAAGGAGCTTTTAAAAGGAGCGCAGACTTTTTCCTATTTATTTTGGATAAGAACAGGGCTGCTGTGGCATTAACTCCAACGACTCCTTGTTCGAAAAATGGCCCCTAGGGCTGGGTGGGTAGGTGGGTGTGTGTGGCTTTTGTTTAACTTCTTAACCTATCTCCACAGCAGTATCTGAACTGTAGCAGACAGTTGTTCCCACCCTTCCCCCAAAACTAGACCTGTTACTCCCCAATCCCATCACTGTAATACTGTCTGGATAGACGTCCTTCCACAGTTTCTCTTCACATCCTCCCCAAGCTTTACTTGGGCCAAAGACTAAACAAATGTAATCTGAAGCCAAGAGAGATGGGGCTGGGCTTTACTTTTGGAGGAAGCTTTAAAAAGGACTCCAGATTTAAGAGTAGGCCTTAATTCTACAGAATCCTGTGCTACTGTAGGATAGTGTGTAGCCCTGGATGGGAACATGGTTCCTGTACTAAAAACCAGTGTTTGCCATGGCTGTAATTACTTCTGATCTTCACACAGGGCAGCAGCCAGAAAACTAGCGGGGAGGCTGGCTGGATGTGAAACTGCCCTTGCCCCTGGAAGGAATGAGATTTTCTCTTTTTCACTTCATAAAGAATAAGAACTGGTGAGTGCAGAATAGAGGTGGCTTCTTCTCCAGCTGGTACTGCCTGGCTTGGACGTTTTAATTGAAAATATCTCAGTTTTGGGTCCTTGCTGCTGTGTTTAGGGAAAAAAAAATAGTGATGCATGCACATAGAATCAGAAAATTGGGCCTGGAAGGGACGCTAGGAGCTCCTTAGGTTTTACAAGGCGAGGAAGGCAAGGGGGTGAAAGAGACCGGCGCTGCCCACGTGGCTCCGTGGGGAAGCAGTAGTTCAAGGCGGGCGCAGCCGCCACGTGGGGTCTGCCCTGCCCCGCCCCTTGGCTTTGCTGTGCAAGGAGCGGAGCTCGGTCAGAGCCACGTGCGGGCCTCCCCGGGCCAGGCCTGCAGCTCCCAGGCTGCCTCCGAAGCAGCCGCGGTGTTTCCCAGAGAGCTAATTGCACGCGTTGCCCTTTAAGGCGAAGCGGTGCCCCGCACAAAGATGGTGGCCCAAGCGCAACCCCTCACAAAGATGGCGGAGGCAGCTCTCCCGCGGCTGCGCCTGCGCGCGGGC